ATGTTTATTTTTGAAAAGAATTGAATTCTCTGGAAGAATTTTATTAAAATTTCTTAAATAATTGATTTGCTTCAAAGAATTTTATTTTTTACGTAAATAATTGAATTGTTTCGAAGATTTTCACAAACATTTTTGACAATAATTGTATTTCTAGGAAGAATGTTATATTTTACGAAAATAATTGTATTCTATGATCAATTTTATTATAATTTTTCAAATTTATATAAAGCATTTTATCAAAATTTTATAAAATAATTGAACTGTCGAGAAAAATTGTATTATTTATGAAAATAATTTATTTCTTGCGAAGAACTTTATTTCAATTTTTTTTAATAATTGAATTGTTAAGAAGAATTGTCTTAAAAATAATTGAATTGTATTTAAGAAAATTTTATTAAACTTGCAATTTTGCAATTTTATTAACTAAATCTTGTAAAGAAGTTTGTCAACATTTTTTTAAATAATAGAATTTTTAATAGAATTTTATTTAAATTTTTTGAGGTAATTGAATTTCTCAAAAATATTTTTTTTTCAATAGATAAGTTGTAAACAAAAGAATTTGAAAATTCACAAAGAACTTTTTCAAAAATTATTTTTAAAAAATTGTCTTAAAGAAGAATTTTAGTTGAAAATTCTAGAAATAAATAATCGTAATGTTGAAAATAATTTTTAAAGAAGTTACAGTAACAAAATAATATTTTTAATTGAATTTCAAATTTTTGAATATCTTAATTTTTATAAAAAAGAATAATGATTAAATATTTATTTAAAAATGAAGCTAAATATATTTATTTGAAAATGAAGTTATTGATGTTTTGGTTTTAAAAATCGGGAAAAATTCCGTTTTTTAACCTGGAATTTAATTAAGTACTTTTTAATTTGCTACTACTTAATAAACTACTATTTAATTAGCTTCTTTAAGATTTAAGAGAAGAAAAATTCTCTTCTAATTTTCTTATCGAAAGGAATAACAATTAATTGCATAAATTATTGAAAGAAATTGTAATTTATAAATATATGTAAAGTATATTCGATGTATACCGTATATTAAGTTATTGAAAGGAAGCATAATGTGAACAAATGCCAAGTGGAGCTAATTTCCTACGTACAATGATCTAAAGCAATTGAGAGATAAAGCAGTAGTGCTTGATGTAGGATGAGATGGACGAAGTGTTCATCAGAAAAAAAAGAAAAATTCTCTCAGTAGATTTTTTTTTCTTTAAATATTTTTTCATTATAAAATTTCTAATTGTGCCAATGTAAGGCAAAAAATGTTTTTTAACACTATAACTTTACAGCATTTATTTTCATTAAATACGATATCTTATGGAATAATGAAGTCAATCATTTCTGTTCTTTGTTCTTGTAAAGGGTCAAGAAGATACATTTTATCATCTGACCTGTGACAGTCACAAAACTTTTTTTTTAAAAATTAAAAAATAAACAAAATTTATAAAAATTAAAAAATTAAAAAAAAATTTATTTTCTTATATTCAATATAGTAGATTTATTTAATTTGATAAATTCAATATTGTCATCTCGTGTATAAGGAAGAATGCAATTTATGTGCATTGTACGGAAAACGAAAATAATAATATACATGAAATAATATTCCATAAGATGGAAAATTATAAGAATCAAAATTTCTGATTTAAATATTTAGTTTATGAGGAAAGAAATTGCGATAAGATAAAATTATCAATTAATAAAAATCAATCAATATAGTTGCACAGATTTCTTCAATTGAACTTGTGTCCTAGACCTTTCAGATCATATGATGCGTGAGAAAAAAATAATTATTAGTTAGCGTGAACTTTATTAATTTTCTATTAATTTGTATATATATTTAAGTTTTTTGTCGTTAGTGCAATTCTGATAAAATTGAAAAGAAAAGAAAAGAAAAAAAAAGCAAATATCTATAAATATAGTTTAAACACGTGATAGATTTTCGATAAAAATAAAAAGCAAATAGATTGATTTTTGATAAGCGGTAAATTTTCACTGTACAGTGGAAGAAACTTTATTCTTTTATTTAAAAATATATCGAAGCTTTCGAATAAAAATAACTAGGTAGAGTATAAGAAATATTAAATAAAAATTTAATTAAACAAAAATATAACTTTTATTTCAAACAAATGAAATATATTTGAACCAAATAAAAAAGTCAAGTAATAAAGTAAAATTGATCAGTGATATTAGGAAAATGTTAGAGATTTTTATTAAAAGTATTGGAAAAAATTAAATTTTGATTTTTTGTGTCTTTTTTGTTTGTCTATAACAATAGTTTCTTTTTAAATAATTTCATTCTTGAAGAACTATCATAAAATTATTAAATAGAAATTATTTAATGAATAATTTTACTCAAAAATTTCAAAATCAATTGAATTCTAAAAGAGTTGCGTTTACAATTTTTATAAATAGATGAACTTCAAAGGTTTCAATTTGAAATTATATAAAAATTCAATTTTAAATTAATTTCATTAGAAATTTTAAAGAACTTAGATTTTTGAAAAATTTTTATAATTTAAATACTTTCATATAATTCAAAATTCAATTATTTTCAAAATTATTAAAAAATTCTGGTCTAAATTTTAATTATCTTTGTAAATAGTGAAATTCTACGCAAACATTTAATTATTTTCATAAATAATAAACATTTCACAGAAATCCAAGTATTTACAATTTTTTTTTATAAATTTCTTCACAATAATTCTATTATTTTTATAAATAATATTCTTTACAAAAGATTCAATTATTTTGCTAAATAATAAATTTTTTCAAGAATTCAATTATTTTCATAAATAAATAAAACTCGTCGCAGAATTTCAATTATTTTTAATACAATTTTAATCGAATTTCTCTAAAAATGTAATTATTCTTAAACATTTTATTAAAATTTAGTAAAGAAATTCAATTATTTTAAAAATCTTTGCTACAATTTATTTATTAAAATTTAAGTATTATTTTCAATACATTTTTAATCAAATCTCTTCGAAGAATTAAATTATTTTCAAAAATTTTAATGAAATTCTTTGTAACAATTCAATTTTTTTCAAAATAATTTTAATAAAATTCTTCGTAGAAATTTAATTAATTTCAAAAATTTGTCAAAATTCAATTATTTTCAATGTCTACTATTTCAATAACATTTCACAGAAGAATTCAATTATTTAAACAGAAATTTTAATAAAATTCTTCTTAAGAATTCAATTATTTTCATCGTAGAAATCCAATTATGTTAAAAAATTTACAAAAATTCTCGTCAAAATTTCAATTATATTTATAAATAATAAAATTTTTCTCTGAAATTCAATTATTTTCAAAAATTTTAATAAAATTCTTGGCAGAATTTCAATTATTTTTAATAGAATTTTCATAAAATTTTTCGAAAAATAAAATTATTCTTAAAATTTTTATTAAAATTTGTCAAGAGAATTCAATTATTTAAAAATTTTTTGATAAAATTCTTTATGAAAATTCAAATTTAAGAAACATGCAATTATTTAATAAATTGTTATTATTGTATTTAAATAATTGAATTCTAGTAGAATTTTCTAATAAACATTGATTTAAAAATTTCAGTTAAAATTTTAGATTATAATTGAATTTTAAAAGCATTAGAGCGTAAATTTTTAGAAATAATAATTGAATTTTGAAATGGTTTCAGATTAAAATCTTTGAAAATCTGAATTTTTCAAACTTTTATCTGACAATTTTGTAGAATTATTTTTTTTTTAAAAAGTTTAATGGAATTTTTTTTTGAAATTATTTGAAGCTTTTATTTTCTAATATATATTTAATTGAAGAAATTTCGAATAATCGAAATTTCTTAAAATTAAATTTTAAACAAAAATGGATTTGAAAATTCTCAAAGAACATTTTCAAAAATTATTAAAAATAATTGATTAAAAAAAAATTTGGATAAAAATGCCAGAAATCAATAATTGATTTGGAAATGATGAATATAATTTTGAAGAAGTTAAGGGTCGTTAATAAATTACGTAAGAAATACATTTTAGCATTTTATTATTTTATTTTTTAGCATTTTATAATGAAAATTAATTTAAAAATTATAGGATGAATTTTTAGAAGTAATTGAATTTTGAAAAGGTTTCGAATTAAAATCTTTATGAAAATTTGAGTTTTTCATACTTTTAACTATAACAATTCTGTAGAATTAATTTTTTTTAAAAAGTTTTATAATTGATTTGAAGGACACTTAATGATACGTTTTTTATTATCCTTATTTTTTTGAAATAAAAAATTAGTCATTTTTTTAAGCACTCTATCAATTAAAGTAGGTTTCTGAATTAAAAATCATATAAATTTGTTACATAAATATTTGACTATCTAATAAAATATAAGAATTTTAATGAAAAATCAGAAAAGCTTCAGTAGTCGGAAAATTACTAGATGTAAATAATATAATATTTAATGTTTTAAAATTTTCCTTCGAAAAAAAATTTTTATTTTCTTATCTCTCTATGTAGGTAATAAAAATACAATGACAAAAAAAAAAAAAAAATATTCTCAAAATAGAAAGTGCTTACGAATAAATAGCACTTTATCCAATTTATATACTACTGCACATTCACCTCCTGTAAGCGATATCATTAAATTATTAAATAAAATCTAATGAAGCATATATACATGGACCTTTTTATATATGATCTGACCTTATAAGATTTGCATCGAGACCTTTGATCTAAAGAAGAAATTCACTTTATAATAGTTTATTTGGCTTTTCCGATGCTTTATAACAAGCAAAATTCGTTTTGCAAAACTTGAGAAGGAAAAATTTCTAAACTTAACTCTATACTTTTTTCAAAAGGAAAAGAAAAAGAAAATAAAGGAAACAAAATAGGGAGAAATAAAAGAAAATTGCGAATATTAAGGGTAAAGGAAAAGAATTTAATATAAAGAAGAAAGATAATGAAGCAAATATATACAATGCATTTTATTTGACTCTTCTTCCCCCCACTCCTCATAATTTCTCAGACTTTCTTGTTCCCCACCAGATGGTGTCAATGAATTTATAAATGCTCAAGCTTTTCGAATTTTCTCTTCAGTTGCCATTTGTGAATAGTTTGTTTTTGTTTCTATTTTCTGTGTTCATCGGTAGTTGAGTTTATCGAGTGATATCAGGTGAATTTTGTTTTCAAAACTTGTTTTCTTTTCTTTTCTTTTTTTTATCAAAAAATATTCAATGATTTTAATTTATCGCACTGTTTCTACTAATTTTTTGCCGAAAAATAATTTATTTCTCAAAGTTGAAGAAACGTTGTTTTTTTAAAATTCATTATTTTTGGTGGATTTTAATAAATTTTTGAGTATTTAATTTTTACTGGAGAGCTGAAAGTTGTAAATAGAAGAATAATAAGTTAAATTTGTTTCTGAGTTAAACTATAAATTTTAGTTCAAACAATAAAATATTCAATTGATAAATATTTATATAATATCTGTTAAAAAATATTATTTTAATAAAAAAAAAGTTTGTTAATAAATATTTTAGTAATAAATACTTTATTAACAAATGTTTTACAAATAAATATTTTATTAACAAATATTTTACAAACAAATATATTATTAACGAGGAAATATTTTGTTAACAAATATTTAACAATCAAATATTTTCTTAAAAAATATTTTATTATTAACAAATATCTTATTTAATAAAATTTTTTTATTCATTTAGTCATATCAAAATTTCTACAGAAAATAATAATTTTAATCATTTTTATTCAATTTGTTAAATAATTTATTACTCATTACTATACACACTTAATTAGGATAATTAACATTTTATTATGCACATAAATAATGTACTAATAAAAACTAAAAATATTTTTCAATGTTTATATTAAATTACATCTGCATAAGGTGTTCGTGAATTTATATTTAACAAAATAATAATTAAAATAATATTTCATTATTATATCAGGAAATATTCTTTTAGATGGATCTTTGTTATTAGAGTTTAGAGAATCTATTTTGAATAGCATTGTCATGTTTACTTGTGAGATGGAACTGTATTCATTATCAGAATGTAATTTATTTACATCAAAAATTTTCTTCGTTAATTTTCCAATTTTTAATTATCATATACACTTGACATTTTAATTTCAATTTTAAAGTCAATTTAATTTTGAATTAATTTCATTTTGAATTGACTTTCAAATTTATTTATTAATTAAAAGCGTTAAGTGTTTTCATTGTTCGATAATTTTCATTCTGGTTTATAAGATTGTACAATTTTTCTTTCAAATTCATCTTTTCCCACGAGGGAAGAAATTTTTTAAATTATGAAAATTAGTGAATAATATTTATAGTAATAATAATTTTAATAATAATAATAATTTTTCTTTTCTCTATTTATTTATTTTTGCGAATAATAAAATGTATCAATAAATTGAAATTAAATTTGAAAAAAAATAAAGCGAAAGTGAATATTTTTGTTGGGAAATTTCAATTAATTCGTTTTTCTGATAAAAAAATTATTTTATCTCTATTCTTAGATTTCTTTATGAAATGTGGCCATTGAAAATACACGTGTCATGTTTTATTGAGTAGGCGAAAATTTTATTGACATAAGAAAACTGAATTCTTTTTTCGAGTATCAGCAAATTATTGTTCTGCATTTTAATAATGTAATTTTAATTAGAATTGCAAATTATTTTTACAATCTAATTTATTTTTAACTTTTAGTCAAATTTATATTCGTATACGTAATTTAACTTCTTTTTTAATAATATTTAAATTTATATTCGTACACGTGAATTTGCTTTTTTCTTTAGTATGATTTAAATTTGTAATTCGTACGCATGGATTTTCTTTATTTTTAGTATGATTTAAATTTTTATTCGTGTAAGTGTACGTTTTTTTTTTTTGTTCTTCTTTGATAATCCAATAAAAATTCACAGAGGAAAAGATATTATACACATTGCATCGGATGTTTTTTGTAATGTAGTTATGTCTAACAGTCTTAATCAGTTAAATGATACAAATCAAATTCTCTTCAGTCAGGACCTTTATGCGTGTCTCTTTATATTTCGTCTTTAAAAAATTTTATTTAACTTTTGTTATAAATATTAAAAAATTGTTATTAAAAGAAAAATATTTTTTGAAATTTCAAGAAAAACGTCGTTTTTTATTTATTAAAAGTTTGTAAATGGAAAATTCTATTTCTCAATATTAATTAAGTTTGCAATTAAATAAGAATGTACTAATACTACAAATAATAATTTTTAAAATTGTTAATATTTATTTTTATTGTTATGAATATTTTTAAAATTTTATTTTCAAATATTAATCAATTTTCCTTTAATAGGTATTAAAATATATTTTTGATTTTGGATTATTTTGGTATTTAAACTAGATGTATGCGAATTTTAATAAAAAAAAAACTGCACTTTTTTATGTCTCGAAAATATCGTCTTCCATTTTATGACAAATATGTCAGAAATTTTATTGTTAAATATAAATTTATTTGTTGAAAATTACAATATAGTTAAAATTTAAATACATTTTCCATTCAATTATATTTAAATACAAATTTAATACAGTGATTTATAATTAAAATACTATATTAATGTTAATTAGCATTAAATATTAATACCATAAATTGCAGTTTATTCAAAAATATATAATAAATACGTGTAATTATTTATGTTTAATGCTACATTTAACTTTAATCAGAGATGCATTAAAATTAATATTATTACAAACTTATATCGCCGATATATATTTGTTATATTATTATAATTACTTTTATCGATAATAAAATCAGAGCAAAAAGTTTTAATAAATTAAATTCCCCTAATATATAATAATTATCTTATTTGGATAATTAAGAATAAAAATAGAATTATTATTTCTAGTATTCTCAATAGAAATAAGGAGATTGTATTTTTTATTAAATAAAAATCTTTGGGGGGAAAATGAAAATGTTTTCTGATAATTAATTGAATTAATAGAATTAATTGAATTAATTAAATTAATTAAATTAATTAAATTAAATTATTAAAGTTGATTAATAATTTATTGACATTTTTTCAATTTAGATTACAGTTAATTGTTGTAAACTAATTTACTTTTTTTTAACCTGAAATAATTTCAATTTTTCTAATAGATCATTAATTTATGGTAATTAATTGCTAATTAATAGTAATAAAAATAATTATTATTATTATTTAAATTATTTTCTTTTTTTAATAAATTTTATTAATGAGAATATTGTCTTTTTTCAGACAAAATGCCCCCGACGACGGCAAGCTCGACTATCGGGGAGACGATAAAGTCGGTGGCCAATCCATCAGATGACACCGATCTTAAAGAAAAAAGTGATGCTAAATCGGGAATGTACGATGGCATCGAACTTCAAAAACCCACAAAATTGGGACCTTTTGAATTTGAGAATGAATTGCTGTGGAATTATATTATTTTCTTCACCGTTTGGCACAGTATAGCAATTTATGGAGCCCTCACATTTCCTTACATCACTCATCCATTAACAGCGCTATGGAGTAAGTATTTCATATATGAAAAAACTAAATTATTTTTCTCAAAAAACAAAATTTTTTTTCTAGACATTTATATTTTTTATTTATTCACTGTATTCATAATTTTTTTCTTAATTGAAAAATAAATTTAAAATTATGAGAAAATGAGGGACTAACTCTGATGGGAATTGAAACCCAGGATTTTTTTTTTATTTATTTCACTTGCAAATTTTTTATTAATATATTTCTTACTTATATTTATTTTATTTTTTTTTATTTGTTCCATTAATACATTTTCTATTTTTTTCATTAATATATTTTCTATTTGTCATATTTACAAATTTTCTATTTACCTATTTTATTACCTAATATTTTTTAAATTTATTTATTCTACTAAGAAAAATGACTATTTATCTATTTTACACTTTTTTACTTTTTTTTATATTTGTTTTAATTTTTTATTCATAATTTTTTTGTTATTTGTTTACAAATTTTTTACTGATTTATTTATATAAAAAATTACAATATTAAGGGCAAATAAAAGTAAAAATATAAATAAATTTAATATAAATTAGGTATATTTATATAATTATAATTATTTTTAATATAAATAACTTTATTACAATTTTTTTATATAGTATTTGAAATAAGGGAATTTTAGCAGTTAATTGATACTAATAATCGTATTTTTCAAAAATTAATTAATTAACTTTTATTTGTTTAAGTGTTGGGAGTTTACTCTTACACGAAAATTGGAGAAACTGCTGGTGCTCATCGTTTATATGCTCATAAGGCATACAAAGCAAAAACACCACTGAGAGCATTGTTGCTGTTAATGTACTATTCCAATGGCACCGTAAGTTAGAAATTATTTATTTGTTTTTTAAATTTTGTTAATTTTTACTTTTCAGAATTGTACTGAAATTAATTGAATTTTTCTAAAAAATGTTATCAAAATTTTTGCCAAATAATTGAATTTCTATGAGAAATTTTATTATTTATAAAAGTAATTGAATTCCTGCAAAGAATTCTATTGAAGTTATATATTCAAAATAATTGAATTCAGGAAAACAAAATGATTTGTGAAAATAATTAAATTAATCCCTGCGAAGAATTTCTTTATTTATGAAAATAATTGAATTGTTCCAAATAATTTTATTAATTTAACATTTTTTTTTAAATAATTGAATGATTTTAAAGAATTGTATGGAAATTGAATTCTTTCAATGAATTCAATTACAATTGCTTTGAAAATAATTGAGTTCTTTTAAAGAATTTTATTAAAATATTATATTAAAAATAATTGAATTCATGAAAACTAAATGATTTGTGAAAATAATTGAATCCCTGCGAAGAATTTCTTTCTTTATGAAAACAATTAACTTCTCTCAAAACATTTTATTACATTAAAAATAATTTTTTAAGTATGATTAAATGATTTTAAAGAATTCTTTAAAATCATTTAATGGGAATTTTGAAAAATAATTGAATTCTTTGGATGAATTCAATTACAATTGCTTTGAAAATAATTGAATTCTTTAAAGAATTGTATTCAAATTTAAAATTATATTAAAAATAATTGAATTCATGAAGACAAAATTATTTGTGAAAATAGTTGAATCTCTGCGATGAATTTCATTATTTATGAAAATAATTGAATTCTTTCAAATAAATTTATTAAAAATTTCTGAAAATAATTCAATTCTCTCAAGAACTTTAATTAAATTCAAATTCTTGCAAAAATTTTTATCAAAATTAAAAAAAAATTAAAATTTGTTCAAGAAATTAAGTTTAAAATTTATTTATAATAATAATTAAATTCTAGCACACAAATTTTATTAGAATTTTTGAAAATAATTCAATTCCTGCGAAACACTTTATTATTTGTGAAAATAGTAAAATAATAAAAGAATAATAAGATTTAGAAAAATACAAATTAAATTGTTTTGAAGAAAATTTAAATTCATTTCAATAATTTAATAAAAATTGTACGGAAAATAATTTAATTCTGAAGAATTTTATCAAACTGTTTTGAAAATAATTGAATTTCTTTCTAGGATTTTTATTTAAATTTTATGGAAATTAATTAAATTTCTTCGAATGATTATATTATTTATATATGAGAATAATTGAATTATTTCCAAAGAATTTTATCAATATTTTAGAAAATAATAAAGTAATAAATAATTAATTTAATTTTTAAAAATTTTGAATCTGTAATTATGCAAAAAATTTAAGTTGATATTTGAGAGTAAAAAACTTTGAAATTTGATTAAAATAGGATTTAATTGTTTATTTAAGAATGAAATAATTAATTAATATAATAGTTTCTAAATAATCGTAATTTTAAATATTTATAAATTTTACATATATAGAGTAAAGAATAAAAAAATATCTTACCTAAAATTTGTTTACAGTTCACAATTAGAAATTGGGTAAAACTTCATCGGATTCATCATAAATATGCAGAGACTGAGGCTGATCCAACAAATTCGACTCGTGGTTTCTTCTTTGCTCACATTGGTTGGTTGATGATGAAGAAACATCCGGAAATGATTAGACGCAAGCGACAAGTCGACATTAGTGATATTAAAGCAGACCCACTAGTACGATTCGGAGATAAGTAAGTCTCATTATTTCTCGTATTCACTCGAACTAAATTATTATTCATTTACTAAATATTTACGAATTTACTTTTTTAAAAATTAATTTACATTTCTGAATATTACATACAATTAAATATAATAAATAATTACAAATTTGTTCAAATAAATACAAATACAAATATTATTTGCATTAATTATTGTATTATCTAATTAAGATAAATATAAATTAATTATAATATAATATTAATTAAATCAATATTTAATTAATATTTTTATTGATTTATTTACCTTATTTATTTATTTACTACAAAACTATTAAAATAATAAAATTATAATTAACAATTACAAATACAAATATTATTTGCAGTAATTGTATTATCTAATTGAATATAAATTGATAATAATAATTATTAAATTAAACAATATTTATAAAATATCAAGAAAATTAACAATCCTCAAAGTCGAAATCAATATGTAATTTGTATTTAATTAGATAATACAATTAATACAAATATATAATATTTGAATTTGTATTTATTTGCATTTGTAATATTGAAAATGTAATAGAATTAATTTCTCACATTTGATTTTCTGAATTTGCATATTAATTAGAAATTTTCTCTTTTTTTTTTTTGCAAATAGATATTTCAAAATTTGGAAATACTTGCTGTGCTTCATTTTGCCCACTATTGTGCCAGTCTACTGTTGGAATGAAAGTTGGTACTATGCAATTATGTCGCAATGCTTTATTCGTTACGTTTTTCAACTAAACGTGACATTCAGTGCCAACAGCTTTGCCCACTTATGGGGCCATAAAAAGCCCTACGACAAGTAAGTAACATGAATTTGCATTCCATAATTGAACTAGTAATTTTACGTTAAAGTCATAATCAGCTAAAATGATGGCGCTCTTAAAGGGTCTCAAGTTCCCTTTAAAATTTAATAACAGCCAAAGTAATTGACCCTAAAGTTTATGCCGCTAACCGTTCAATGCACCTTTGGAGTCCTTAACTATCAAAATCGAACAGCTTCATCCTCCAATTAAGTGCAGAAAATATTAAAAGTTTTAAACACTTTTTTTTTATATATTGAAATTGTAAACTTCTTTTTTTATTGAAAAATGTCGATTAATTAGTAACTAGCAAACGTTACGCCCGCGGAACGAGATATTCAATTTATTATCGTTATGCAAATTACAAAATTTTTTATTTTCAAATATTAATATTTTAAATAATTTCATAATCAAAATTTAAAAAAATTCACTTATAAAGTACAAAATTAATTATTACTGTTCATATTTTTAAAAATTTTAATAGGTACAATTTCACGAAAGAATTCAATTATTTTCTAAAATTTTAATAAATCCTTCTAAACAATTCAATTATTTTTTTTAAATAGTAAAATATTTACAAAACTTCAATTATTTTCAAAACAATTTTAATTAAATTCCTCAGAAGAATTCAATTTTTAAAAAAATTTTAACACATTTCGAAAAAATTCAATTTTTTTCTAAAGTTTTAATAAATCCTTCGAGAAAATTCAATTATTCAATTTTAATTCAATTCCTCAGATAAATTCAAATATTTTTAAATATTTTCATAAATTTCAATTATTTCCTAAAATTTTAATAAATTCTTCGAAACAATTCAACTATTTTTAAAAATTCAAAAATTCTTTGCAGTAATTAAATAATTTTTAATCGAATTTAAATAAAATTACACAAAAGAATTTAATTATTTTCAAAAATTTCCATAAAATTCAATTTCAACAAGAATTTAAAATTTTCTAAAAATAATTCAATTATTCACAAAATATGTTTAAAAAATTCTATATAAAAATTAAATTACTTTCAATTATTTTAAAAAAATAATAACATTCTTGAGATGAATTCAATATATTATTTTGAATATACTTAATTTTAATAAAATTTTTTAAAGAAATCCAATTATTTTCGAAACAACTTTAATTGAATTACTCAAAAAAATTTCATTATTTTTAAATATTTCTGCAAAATTCTTTACAACAATTTAATTATTTCTTAAAATTTTAATAAATTCTTCGAAACTTTTCAATTTTTTTATAAATAGTAAAATTCTTCGCAATAATTCAATTATTTTTATAAATAGTAAAATCCTTTGCAGAAATTCAATTCTTTTCAAAATAATTTTAATTGAATTCCTCGGATGAATTCAAATATTTTTAAATATTTTCATAAATTTCAATTATGTCCTGAAATTTTAATAAATTCTTCGGAACAATTCAATTATTTTTATAAATAGTAAAATTCTTAGCAAGAATTCAATTATTTTCAATACAATTTCAATAAAATTCTTCTTCATAAAATTCAATTGCTTTCAAAATTTTTAATTAAAATTATTATTATGAAATTCCATTAGTTTAAAAATAATTCAAAGAAATTCTTCAAAAGAATTAAATTAGGATTTTTAAAAATTTTAATAAAATTCATCGCGAGAATTCAGTTATTTTTCTAAATAATAAAATTATTTGAAGGAATTCTGATATCATTATCAAATTTTTTGATAAAATTCTTTGCAAGAATTCGATGACTTTCAATACATTAATTTTAAAATTGAAAATATTTGAAAAGAAAAATTATAAGAAAGTTAAGAAACTATAAAGCAAACAACAACTAACTAATAATAATAATTAGTTAATTATTTAATCTTTCTATTAAATGAGCGGGAAATAGTTGAATTTTAAATACTTTTTTTGCTTTTTTACTTTTTAAATTTTTTTCCCTTTTATATCTTTTTACCTTTTTTTTATCTTTATTACCTTTTATTTTTACCATTTTTCAATTTTTCTTTATCTTTTTCCTTCTTTAAAATAAAATTTCCTTTTCTTTTTGGTTCGATTTTTATCTTCATGATTGAAAACAAGTGGAGATAAAGATACATTTTTATTTGTTTTAATAATAAATAGACTAAAAGGATAAAAATGTTTTATTTTTTCACGTAAATCGTTGAAAGGGGTAAATTGAAAAAAAGACTATTAATATTGGTCCTTAGGTATTATGTCGAAATCCAATCTGGATTTGCACTATATTGAGATTCAAATTGAATGAAAAATTTAAATTTACACGGAAATGAATTGAATTGAAATTGTACACTGAAAATAGATTCTCGCGTGTTCATAAATTTTTTCGATGTTTCATTTTCCATTTAGTTTTCCTTTTTTCTTTTTTTGTTAATTAATGCTCATTATTTTTTAATAAGTCTTTACTTCAAACTTTCCTTTTCTTTTTATCTGTCTTCTTTTTATATTTAAATACAAATTAAATTATAAGTCTTCTAATAATAAAAAAAAGAATTTTAAAATTGGATTTAATTTTATTATTTTTCAACTTATTTTTGCTCATTGCTTTTTTAATAAATATTAATTTCGAATTTTAATTTTAGACTCTCAATTTTTATTATGTTTCGACGTTTGGGTAGAAATTAAATTCCATGTCTTCGAATAATAATAAATTCGAAAATTGGATTTAATTTGATTATTTTTCAATTAATTATTGCTGAGTATTTTTTTCATAAATTTTTACATCAAATTTTTATTTTTGCCTATCAATTTTTATTATGTTTCCATGTTTAAAAATAAATTAAATTCTTCCAAGTTTGAATAATAAAAAATTCGAAACTTTTATTTAATTTAATTTATTGTTCAGTATTTTTTAATAAATCTCTACTTCGAATTTTTATTTTTCACTTATTAGTTATTACATTATACATTATACATTAATAATAAAAATTCAAAATTAATTTTTAATTACGTAAAAATATTCAGTTTACACTATTTTCGATATAATTTAGTAAATTATTAAAAAATATTTTGTCAATAATTTACTTAAATTACAGTAAACAAATTTTGCTTATTTGAACATTTGAAAACTTTAGAAAAATGAAAATTATCATATTTTCGCTTTCGTTTTCAAAGAGAAAATTTAATTTGAATAAATCAAATTTTAATTATAGGAACATCTTTCCAACGGAACACAAAGCCGTCTCCATTGTAACCATGGGCGAGGGGTGGCATAATTATCATCACACATTCCCTTGGGATTATAAGGTAAATCACAGAATTTAAATTATTTTTTCAGGAATTTTTTTCCTCGAATTTTATTTCTTTATGAAAATTCAATTATAAAATTGAAAATTTCAAGGAAATTAATCCAAATACACAATGTACTTCTATTTGTGGAGAATTTCAATTGAATTCAAAATTTCACTTTTAGGCGGCAGAACTTGGTGACTATTCAATGAATGTAACGACTGGCTTTATCGACCTATGTGCTAAACTCGGTTTGGCATACGATTTAAAGCAACCCTCCAAGGATTTAATCAAATCAGTTTGCAAGAACAAAGGAGACGGCACTCATCCTGTGTGGAAAGAGGTTTCAGAACCAATTGCAGCTCACTAAAAAACTTTTCATAATACAAATAAAATAAAATCTTCATTTTTTCCCCCCTCAAGAATTCATTATTTGTTTTACGAAAATTCAATTCGAGAATATCAATTACAGTTTGAAGTTTTACACTCCCCTTAGAGAGCATGTTTAGAATTTTATTTATTTCTTTTTTTTCTTTTCCCTATCAATCAATTTATTTCCTTATCATTTAAATGCTAATCTGTCAAGTGATTAAAATATCAAATTCGATTCGATTTGAAGTGATAGAACACGTGTATTCTATTCTCAATGAGAATTTACGAAATCTTTTTTCGGTCTGCCAAAGATTGATATGCGAGAAAAGACTGGAAATTTTGTCGAGAAAAAAAAATACAAGCGAAACAAAAAAAAAATTGATACAATTTCAAAATAAGAAATTTATTTTATTAATTACTAAATAGGCAATTTTGTAAATCGTTAAAATTAAAGAAAATATCTGTGAAAAAATGTGATTATCTTTTTTTTCTAGTATAATAATAGTAACAGTAATAGTGGAAGTACATCTATTACACTTTCAAGTATATAAATATTTTATGGTTTAACAATTAAAAAAAAATCCATATTGCAATATTTGTAATATTTAATTTTTAAATGGAGATTGTCCAAAAATTCCTTATTGTAATTTTTATTTCGATTCTTAATATAAAAAATAAAAATGCAATGTTAATGGATTGTATGCAATATTTTTTTTCTTATTCTCCTGTTATTTATTTTAATATTATGATAATTATTAAATATTATGATGTTTAAAATTCAAAATTAAATTATTATTAATAACTAGCTAGCGAGCGAAACACAGTTTACATAACTTATTATGTTAATTACAAAATTCTGCATTTTCAAATATCAACATTAATTTTGATATTTGAATAACTTCAGATTCAAAATTAAATTATTTTCAACACAATTTGAATGACATTTCACCAAAGCATTCAATTACTTTTAAACATTTTAATAAAATTCTTCGCAGAAATTCAATTTTTTTCAAAAACTTTTATAAAATTCTTAGCAGAAATTTAATTATTTTTAAAAACTTTCCTCAATTCAATGATTTTTAATATCTACTACTTTAAAAAAAATTCCTAAAAGAATTCCATTAGTTAAAAAAAATTATGATAAAATTCTACGCAAACATTTAATTATTTTCATAAAATAATAAAAATTTCACAGGAATTCAATTATTTACAAATTATTTTCATATATTATTCAATTATTTTTATAAATAATAACACTCGTTTACAGGGATTCAATTATTTTCGTAAATAATAAAACTCAATGCTGAATTTCAATTATTTTTAATACAATTTTAATAGAATTCCTCGAAAAAAGTTATTAATAAAAATTTTTTAAAATTTATCAAAGAAATTTAATTATTTTGAAAAACTTTGCTACATAATTTCAATTATTTTCAATACAATTTTCATCAAATTTCTTGAAAAATGCAATTATTCTTAAAAATTTTATGAAAATTTGTTAAGTGAATTCAATTATTTAAAAATTTGTTAATAAAATTCTTTATGAAAATTTAATTTTAAGAAACATTCAATTAATAATAATAAAGTACATGTTCCGGTAATCTGTTCGCAGTTGAATTTTATGAAGAAGAATTATATAAAATTTGAATTGAAAATAATTGAATTTTTGCGAAGAATTTTACTATTTATAAAAATAATTGAATTGTTCCGAAGACTTTATTAAAATTTTAGAAAATAAATTAATTTTATGTTAATATTTGAAAATTTAAATTCTTTCGAGGAATTCTATTAAAATTGTTTCGAAAATAATTAAATTTCTTTAAATTATTAAAATTAAATTATATATTCAAATAATTGAATTTATCACAAGAATTTTATTATTTTTTGAAAATAAATGAATTCTTACAATTTTTTTTACAAATATATTTAAAAATTGCATTGAAAGCAATTTAATTTTTATATCGAATTCTTTAAAAATATTTTAAGAATAATTGAATTATTTTTAGAGAATTTTAAATTCTTGTTGAAATTGAATTTTATGGAAATTTATTGAAAATAATTGAATTCTTTTGTGTAATTTTATTTAAATTGGATTAAAAATTATTTAATTCCTGCAAAGAATTTTACTATTTATAAAATGAATTGAATTTTTGCAAAGAATTTTACTATTTATAAAAATAATTGAATTTTTTCAAAGGATTTATTAAAATTTTAGAAAAAAATTGAATTTTTTTGAAATGCATTAAATTTTTTTTAAAAATTGAATTCTTCCGAGGAATTCAATTAAAATTGTTTTGAAAATAATTGAATTTTTGTAAAGATTTTACTATTTAAAAAAATAATTGAATCGTTTAGAAGGATTTATTAAAATGTTAGAAAATAATTGAATTCTTTCGTGAAATTTTATTAAAATTTTTGAAAATATGAACAGTAATAATTAATTTTGTACTTAATAAGTGAATTTTTAAAATTTTGATTATGAAATTATTTTAAAAATTTATATTTAAAAGTAAAAAATTTTGTAATTTGCATAACAACAATAAATTGAATATCTCTTTCCGCGCGCGTAACATTTGCTAGTTGTTTAATAAAATATTTATTTTTATAATTAAATAATTGAATTCTCATAGAATTTTCTAATAAATTTTGATTTAAAAATGAATTTCAATTAAAAATCTTTGAAAATTTGAACTTTTCATACTTTTAATTAAGAATTCTATAGAATTAATTTTTCTCAATAAGTTTAATGGAATTTTTTTTAATTATCTGAAGTTTTTAATTTCTAATATATTTAATTGAGGAATGTCAGAATAATCCAAATTTTGTAAAATTAAGTTGTAAACAAAATAATTTGAAAATTCATAAAGAACTTTTTCAAAAATTATTTTAAAAAAATTAACTTAAAAAAGAATTTTAGTTGAAAATTAAAGAAATGAATAATCGTAGTGATGAAAATAATTTTTGAAGAAGTTACTGTAACAAAGTAGCAAGTTTTATAATAATATTCTTATATGTTATTGAATTTCAAATTTTTCAATATCTTAATTTCTATAAAATAATAATGATTAAATATTTATTTAAAAATGAAATTATTGATGTTTTTGAATAATTTTCGTTTTAAAAACCTGGGAAAATTCCTGGAATTCTGGAAACCTGGAAATCCTGGAAAAGTCAATTTGAAAAGAGCAAAAGCGTGGCAATCCTGTAATAATAATAATAATTTAATATTTAAAAATAATTTAAATTTTTAAATAAATCTTGTTTTAAATTTATTTTTTTATTTTCTCTCGAAGTAAATCATTTCTGTATTAATAATTTTACAATTAAGAGAAATTTTTCATTTCATATTATGTGACTCATTAATAAATTTAAATTAATTATTTCATTTCAATTTGTCTTGTTTCCTATTGAATAATAATTAACTGAAATGAGTCCAAAGTATTCATTGGCCTCTGAATAATTAATTGATTGTTGAATATAATCGATACAAGACAGTAATTTAATTAATTAACCATTTTAAAAATAAACACGACGGAGAATTTAATTTAAATGAATTTTTAAAAGAATACTTTTTTGGGATCTTCATCTGAAAGGTTCTTAAAAAATTTTTTTTATTTTTCTTTAATTAAAAATTGTTGGATTTAATTTGTGATAAAGAATTTGAAAACGACAATTATGATGTTTTTCCGTCAATTTATTTATCATTAATGCTAATCTTACAAAAAAACATATAATACATATTACAGGCAGGCGATAATTTCGTAAATAGTTAATCGACTTAAATTAGATATAATAATTAAATTTACTTGTATATTCTTAAAATATATTTACGCAAAATAGAGAAAAGAAAAGCGAACCGTTATTTTTTTGTTCATTTTTTTTTTGTAAAAATAAATACTCGTTCGGACGTCGAGGGACGGGAGTTAATTATATAAATTCTTAATTATAATTATGTAGTGTACAATTACAATCGCCATTTTCTTATTACAATAAAAGCAACACGATTTTTTTAAAAGAAAAAACAATATTTTTTTTAAAATCGATTATCTATATCAACTATATTATAATTCACATTTATCTTGTCGAACTATACACATTAGTTTTTGTTTTTTTTTCAAAAAAACATCAAAGTTCAATATTGAACAGTCAATTATTTTCAAGGAAATTTTTTTTTTTTTATTTTGTATTTGTTAAAGATTCAAAAATGTGAAAAATTTTCATTTTTTTTTTATTGCATCTCTAAGTTTGGAAAATTTTTCTATTTGCTACAAATTTTTTTGTGAAAAATGAGAAAAGGCGCGGAAATAATTTTCTTTTTTTGGTTTTCTCAAATATGAATGATAAAATTGGATATAAAATTGCGTTGTGTGAATACAAGTTTTAGAATTATTTTTTTTTTTTGTAAATGAGCTTTCATTTCGTGATGAAATGGAAAAGAAAAGAGTGTGTGAGATAAAATTATAATGCACGAGTAATAAAGTCTCGGCAGTATAAAATTATTTTCCAGTATCTTTGGTTTTTTGTTTTCATCATTTCTGTATTTTATTTTTAATAGTTATTTAATAATTCTGTTTTTTTTTTGTTATTGTTGTCAATTCCTATTTTTTTTCGCTTAATTAAGAAATCAGTCTGCAGTTCAAAATTCCCAAGTGTAATTTTGAAAGAGCCTTAAAAATGGCAAATACTTTTTTTTTTTTAGTTTGTAAACAATCGAAATGCACGAATTTCAATTGGCATTTTATTTGTTCGAAATTCATCTGAATTGGTTGATAATTTGAATTCGAATTGAAATGTTGAATTTTTGTTGATATTACGATTTTTATTTTGTTGAAATTTTATTTTATTTTCGTCCAAAATGTAAATTGTTTAAGTAATTTATTTTTTTTTATTAATTGTTTTTCTTATAATTTCTTTTTTAATCTTTTTCTTTCAATATATTTTCATTTTTTTTTATCTTTTAATTTTTTTTGCTATTATTTCTTTTTTTGCTTTACTTTTTTTTATTTTTTTTGCTTTTATTTTTTTCTCTTATTTTTTCTCTTTTATTTAAATTTTTTTATTAATTGATTTTATCGATTAATTTAATTTGGATTAAATTCGCTACGAATTCCGGGCAAATACGCATGTCAATTGAAATTTAATTATAGAATTTTTTGTGCGCTTCGAGTATAGTATATTAATTATGAAAATTTTCATTGAGATTCGAGACGTGAAATGATAGATAACTTTTTTTTTTTTTCTTGTAAATGGCACTACGAAAGCGAAAAGGTAACGGTGCGTGTTTCCACGAAATATCGTATATGATATTCTGTAATTATAATACAATGACACGATTCCTAAAATCGGAATGACATTTGCTTCCTCTCATCGCTATAGCAGATATTCTGTAATTATTACTATATTTTTTTTAATTTAATATTTAATAGTTTAACATCGTTAACGTACGCTAAATTCATCTTCGACTTTTGTTTTTTTTTGTTTTTTTTGTTTATTTTTTAATTCCCTGGATTGTCTGACGTGACGTCGCGTCGTAATGAGCCATAACATTTACAATAGTTCATTAAATACATTACGTGGAACAAAGTGGGAAAACCTTCATCCAGGAACGATCCCGCTGTTTATCGAGCGAATAGATACTACACTCCATTTCAATAGTGAAAAATTGACTAAGTTCCTGCTTTTCAAGACGTTTAAATTCCTTTATTTTCTTGTCTTTTAATATTTTTTTCTATTTTTAACTTGATTGTACACAAAATGAAAAACTAATGGAATAATTATACAATTTTTTTTCTTTTTTGATGATGACGAAAGAAAAAATTTTATAGATTTTCGAAATTTAATTACTTCTCAGGTGCAATCGATTAGAAAAAATTTTTTTTTGTTATTTAAAAATTGTATTTCTAAACAGTAAATTATTAATCCTATTGAGTTAAATTTATTTTTATTTTACTTTAATTTAGTAAAATGTTTAGAATATAATTAAATCGCAATCAATTTTAGTCGATTTCTAAAGAATTTTTGCCTAAAATTTCAAATTTCGAATTATAATTTTAATTTTAATTATTAATTAATAATATAAATTTTTAATACTAATAATTTCCTCAATCGATTTCAGTCAATTTTTTTTCGTGATTATTGCTTCTGGAATTCGGAAATTATATCGAAACAGAGCTGAAGTGTTGAACAATTTTCTTATCTACTAAATTATTGTTTATTCTCTCTCACTGGAAAAAATTTCTATAGCAAATTATAACTGGCAAAAAAATTAGCATAAATTCGAATAATTGAACTAATTTAGCAAATAATAATAATTATTTGAAATAATTCAGGGACTAACTGAAATAATTTAGCAGCTCATTGAAATAATTTAGTAAATACTTTAGTAAATAATTTAGCGAATAATTTAGCAAATAATTCAGCAAATAATTTGGAAAATACTTTAGCAAATAATTTAGCAAATAATAATTTAAAGAATAATACTTGAGTAAATAATTTAGCAAATAATAATTCAGTAAATAATTTGGAATCCAAGTGAATAATTTCTAAACAAATACGTTCAAATATAAATTAGTAAATATTCATTTAAGTGAAATTTGATTTCACCCAAACTTATTTTTTCCTCGAGTTTCATTTAAAAATTATTTACCTGAACAATTATTACTAATTATTATCGAATATAATAATTTTCGAATAATATTTATTAATAAAAAATCCTTCGATAGTTTTTCAATTTTTTTGCAATATAGAGCATTTTTTTCAGCTTATTTTTGATCGGTGAAACAACAAAAAAAATTATTTTTTTGTATCATGAGAAAAAAAGTGTACTTGAAAATTCCCGTCAATTTTCAGTCCAATTTCCGTTCTTCTTTTTCTTTTCCTCAATTTCTATTTTCTACATTTTCTCTCATCGTTTTTCATTTCGTGTAACATTGTTTTTTTTTCTTCTTCTTCTTCCATTCTTTTGTGCATTCGTCTCTAGTAAACTATCCCTTAACAATTTTTTTTTTTTATGTCGTACGTCGAAAAAGTATTTTTAAAAAATTACAAAATGAGTATTTTCTTTTTTTAAATAAATGAAGCGATTTTTTGACGACGCAGGTACCCTTATTACAATTTTCAATTATATAAATTACACAATAATAATTATACAAATGCCTAACTAACAGAGTGGAAAAATTCTTGAGAAAAATGTCTAAAAAATTGGTTTTTTGTTTTTCTTCTTCTTCTTTACGAGAAAAGTCCTTTTAGTTTCGCGCTAGTCTTTTCATTTTGGAGAGATCTTGTGAGAAACTTTTTTAAAAGTCTTAGAAAAAGAAATTAAAAAAGGAAAAAAAAATTCTTGTATTCAACTTTTTCGACGAAATTGGAGTCATTATTTGTTTCTTAAAACCTCTCGTGTCGAAAATTTAGAACAATTATTTGGAAAAAACTTGGAAATTGATAGACAGCTTTTCTTTAGAGAGAAACTTGGAAAGATTTTTTTCTCTCTCTTTTTTTTTTTTTTTTTGAAGTTAAAAGCTGCTTTTCAATGATCGTTGAACACACTCCTTGTTTTTTTTTTGTTTTTTTTAACCTGATGATTGTTTTGAAGATTCTATTTTCTACGTGAAAAATCGAGTAGCGACGAGGAAGGATAACGCGAGAACGGATTGACTGACGTAGTGTATCTTCCCCGAGGAGAAGAAAAATATACCTGCTGAGCCGACGGCGGCGTTCGCGTGGCGACTTGATGGTTGCTCGGATGCCATTAGATCCTCCCTGGAGGGCTCGGGACATGGAAGATCCTCAGGTTTCAGTTCAAAAAGTTGCTTCATGTAACCCACTTTTCCGTCTATGATCTCCATCTGCAAAGAAAATTATGTTACGATATAGTTTACTATTTCCTCTTTTTCTTGACTGAAAGTTTTTTTTTAAGTGAGAAAAACAGTTTCCCAGTTTTTTTTTCTTTTTCTCCTCTTTGAATGTAATTATTTTTACAAAATTCATTGTTCCACTTATAGAGAATTGTTACAAATTTTTCAAAGACAATTAATTTTTTTTTTAGTTTTATAATTTTTTCATTAATTTTTCAATTATTATTTGTTGAATTAATTTTTTAATTCAATTTCAATTATTCTAATTCAAAATTTATTTTGATTAAATTTGCAATTCATTGTCAATTATCCTAAATCAAAATTTTACTTATAGAGAATTGCTCGAAATTTTTACTCTGAAAATCGAACCAATTTTTTTTCAATTATTATTTTTTTCATTAAATTTTCAATTCAATTTCAATTATTCGACTTCAAAATTTTCACTTATGGAGAATTGCTCGAAATTTTGAGTCTGAAAATCGAACAAATTTTTTTTTCAATTATTATTTCTTAATTATTTTTTCAATTACTATTATTTGTATTAAATTTTCAATTCAATTTCAATTATTCGATTTGAAAATTTTGACTTATGGAGAATTGCTCGATATTTTTACTCTGAAAATCGAACAAACTTTTTTTTCAAATCTTAATTTTTCAATTAATTTATCAATTATTATTATTTTTTTCCTTAATTATTCAATTCAATTTCAATTATTCTAATTCAAAATTTATTTCAATTAAATTTTCAATTCAATGTCAATTATCCTAAATCAAAATTTTCACTTATAGAGAATTGCTCTGAATTTTTTATTCCGAAAATCGAACAAATTATTTTTTTCAATTATTATTTTTTAATTATTTTTTCAAATTACTATTATTTGTATTAAATTTCCAATTCAATTTCAATTATTCGACTTCAAAATTTCCACTTATGGAGAATTGCTCGAAATTTTTACTCTGAAAATCGAACAAATTTTTTTTCAATTATTATTTCTTAATTATTTTTTCAATTACTATTATTTGCATTAATTTTTTAATTCAATCTCAATTATTCTAATTCAATATTTATTTTGATTAAATTTGCAATTCAATGTCAATTATTCTAAACCAATTTTTTTTCAATTATTATTTTTTCAAATTTGTTTTGTCATTAATTTCTTAATTCCATTTCAATTATTCTAATTCAAAATTTTGATAAAAATAGAGAATTGCTCCATATTATTACTGTGACATATTTTATTTTTACCATTTACATCAATTTTTTAAATGTTTTCAATTTTCCTTAATTTTTTATTTATTTTTCAATTATTTTTTTTCTTAATTATTCAATTCAATTTCAATTATTCTAATTTAAAATTTCCACTTATTGAGAATTACTCGAAATATTTACTCTGACATTTGAATAAATTTATTTTTAATTTTTTGATTTTTTCATTAATTCATCAATTAGGGAGCGTTCACAAATGATGTCACGCTTTTGGGGATAGGGGGGGGGGTCTCTACTAAACGTGACACAATGTATTTTTCTCATGTGAAATTGCAAAAATTGCGTGACAGGGGGGAGGGGGGGGGTTTAAAATCTCCAAAAATTGCGTGACATCATTTGTGAACGCTCTCTTATTGTTTTTTTTTATTATTTTTTCAATTCAATTTCAATTAATATTCTTTAATTTCATCTAATATTCTACTTAAAAATTTTTATTTATAGAGAATTGCTGGATATATTTTTAATCCAAAAATGGAACAAATTTCTTTTCTATTATTAATTTTTTCATTCTTTTTCCAATATTATTGTTTTTTCATTAATTTTCAAATCAATTTTAATTATTCTACTTAAAAATTTTTATTTATAGAGAATTGCTCGACATTTTTACTCTGCAAGTGAAAGATTGTTATCAATTTATATTTTATATATATAATTTTTTAACTATTTATCCATATTGAATTGAAAATAATTAATCATTTTTAATAATTTTCTATATTTAATATTGTGGAAATATTTAATAAGTGGAATAAGAAATTTTGTGAAAATATAATAATTACTTTTTGTAATAATAAGAATGAATAGTGAGGAATAGTAATTAATAATTGATAATTAGCAATTGATAATAATGAATTATTGTCCGTAAATAATAATTGATAATAATTAATAATATAAATATAATAATTATATACACATTTCTTATCTAATAATTAATAACAATAATACCTAATAAAAATAATAGTAATAATAATAATATAAAAAGTAATAATAAATAATTAATTGTTCAATAATAAAAAAATGTAAAACGAAAAGCAAAATTACAATGACATAAGAACAAGTAAATTATTAATTAACATTTATCTCTTGTTTGTTAATTCAAATTTTTAATTAGAAAATTTAATTTGCCTTGGAACTCGATACAAATATAAAGATGTTGAATTTCGCAAAGACATGCATTATGAATTGTTTATAGGACTCCTGGACAATAAAGGCGGAGTTAATAATTCTGCACCGATAAACACTTATCAAAGCGATTATCAGGCAAGGAAACAGAGAATTCATGATTGTAATTAAGATATCTTCTCTCAAACGAAGTATCTTCATTCCTTTGTGTACATACAACTGTTTTCTCACTGCGTTCGCGTATTATTTTAACTATTGTTTAAAGCACATTATTATTCATTCAATCTTAACATTTATTATTACATTACGAATAACGTTCATGTAATATAAAATTAACTATATATACGAGTACAATTCATTTCAAAATCGATGAAATAATATAATATGAACTACTGCGGGGTATGAGTAAAAGGAATACTAGTTTAAATTATATAACAATGGAATATTATCTTCATTACGTGAATTACTTGTTTTAATGTATAATATTTATTTACGTGTATTATTAGAAAATATTATTTTATTTATTTATATGATTTATATTTATTAGCATTACTATAATTAAAACTGTCAAACAAAATTATTTAATTGTAATTTTCGTAAAAAATTATTGAAGTTTTGAGTTTTATTTCATTTTGATTAATTATTATTATAATTAAAAATTCTAAACACTAATTGAATTTTGGATGAATTGCAATAATAATTTTTAGAAATAATAAAATTTCAAAACGTATTTTGAAATTTTAATGAGTAAATAAATAACAATAAGCACAAATATTTATTTAACAAAAATGTTGAAGTTTTGAATAATTTAATTTTGAAATTCTGAAGAAATTAGATTTTATAAAAATTGGAAAAATAACTATTATTAAATAAATAATTAAAATTGTAATTAAAATATTTTTGTTTTAATTTTTAAAACAAATTTACAATTCGTGCCAGTAAAATTATAAAATTAAATATTATTTATATTGAAAATTAATACTTAAAATAATGTTTTTAAAGTAGATAATAGATATTAATTAAAAAAAAAATGGAAAAAAAAGTTTTCTTCTTACCTTCGAGGGTGATTTTTGAATTTCTCTCTCTTCATCTTCGTAGGAGTCGTCATAGTTGGTGGCATCGTCCAAATAATCGTTGTTACCTCTATTTCCTTCTTTCAAATTATCAAACCTATATTCGTCTGGAAAAAGGTGATTAATTTTTTTTTTTTTTTATTTTAAAAACTAATAATTTTTTGCATTTTTAAATACAATTTAGAATGTTAATAAAGAAAAGAAGATTTCATTTTTCACACATCGATTTATAAATTAATAATATTATAATTAAAAAAAATTAAATTTTATTAAAAATAGAAAAAGTTCATTTCATATTCAGAGATTGAGATTTATGAATTAAAAAATGTAATTAAAAGTGTATTTTTTATTTTAAAAAGGAAAAAAAATTAATTTTTAAAAAATCGAGATTTACAATATATAGAAATTTAATAAAAGAATCTAGGTAATTTATTTAAATTTAAAATTTGTTTAAAAAAAGAAGCGAAATTTAATATTATTTAAAGAAACAGATTTATGAATTAAAATACTTCCTCTATGAGGAAGTAAAATGTAATTAAAAAATTACATTTTATTTAAAAAAGGAGGACAAATTTATTTTTCAATAATCGAGATTTATAAATTAAAAAATTTAATTAAAAAATAAAATTTCTTTTTAAAAAGAAAAAAAAAAATTTTTAATAACGAAATTTATAAATATTAAAAACATTTCATTAAAAAATTACAGTCTACTATTAATTCAATAGATTTTTATTGTTACTTTCACTTCTATTTTCACTTTCACTTTCGATTTGATAAAAAATGAAAAAAATGAAAAATAAATAAAAAGCGAAACTGAAAGTCAAAGTAGAAATGAAATTATATACATTATAATGACTCCCTGATTCGTTTCCTATTGACAGAAAATTATAATTTTTATTTAAATGCAATCTTAGATTGATTAAAATGTTAAACAATAAATATTTTACGCTTTCACCAAGAACCAAATCATTTTTAATTATATATCAAGAAAATAATTTTAATATTCCAGAAAATTATTTTTAAGATAATTTTTTATGAGGAATCCAATGGTCAAAACATCACATCGTTCAAAAAATATTTTGACTCTTTTTGAATTTTTAATTTACTTAAAAATTGATATATTTGGGAAATCGATGCGAAATTTTGTAGAAAATATGTTTTTGAATCCACAAAAAGAATTGACGAATGAAGAATTTGATATTTGCAATTTTTTGAAGCATTTCTCTTAAAACCTTGTTTTTAGGCTGAAACTGCTACAAAATACTATTACTTATTATTTAATTTTTTTATTTGAAAATTCATTTTCCTAACTAATTTCAGACCATCATTTTATCATATATTTTTTATTTTTCATATATAAAAATTATCATTTGAAATTAGTTAAAAAAATAAACAAATGAATTTTCATATAAAAAAAATCGAATAATAATTGTATTTTCATCATTTTTAGCATAAAAACAAAGATTTTTATTTAAAAACAAAAATGTTTCAAAAATTATGAAAATCAATTTTTCCATTTGTCAATTTTTTTGTGGATTCAAAAACATATTTAAATATTATACAAAATTACGAACAGATTTCAAAATCTACCAATTTTTAAGTAAAATAAAAATTCAAAAAGAGTCAAAATATTTTCTGACCATTGAATTCCTCTAAAAAAATTACCTTAAAAATAATTTTTGAGGAATATTCAAATTATTTTCTTGATTATAATTAAAAATATTTTTTATCAAAATATTTTCTGACCATTGAATTCCTCTAAAAAAATTACCTTAAAAATAATTTTTGAGGAATAATCAAATTATTTTCTTGATTATAATTAAAAATATCGGTGTACCCTCTCCTCTCGAAGTGAAAGCAGATTATTTTAATCTATTTTGAACTTAAAATAATACATCACAATTTTCTGTGTAATTAATTTTTAAAAAATCAAGATTTAAAAATTAGAAAAATTTAATATAAAAATCAAATTTGAATTATAATTATAATTAAATAAAATATATTTACAATATAAGAAAAAATAATTTTCTCTGAATTAATTTTAAAAAATCGAGATTTGTATATTAGAAAAAGTTAATTTAAAAATCAAATTTGAATTATGAGAAAGAATATATGTTTACAGTAAGAAAAAATAATTTTCTCTGAATTAATTTTTAAAAAATCAAGATTTAAAAATTAGAAAAATTTCATACACAAAAATCAAATTTGAATTATAAAAAAAATATATTTACAATAAGAAAAATAATTTTCTGTGAATTATTTTTAAAAAATCGAGATTTATAAATTTGTAAAATTTTATACAAAAAGCAAATTTGAATTATAAAAAAAATTATATTTAGAATAAGGAAAAATAATATTCTGTGAATTATTTTTTAAAAAATCAAGATTTATAAATTAGAAAAATTTAATACAAAAATTGAATTTAAATTATAATAAAAAATATATTTTAAAAAAGTAGAAAATTATTATAATAATTATATTATAGTTTTGATATGAGAGGGAAATATGGTTTATGTTGCTATAAAAAGTAATATAAATCTAAGATGAAGCAAGTTGCTTGAAGTAGAGAGAGAGTGGAATATTTATATATATATCAAAACTTGTGCAGTTTACTATTCTTACCTGGATTGCGTGCAATTGCCAAAGCACTATTCCTCTCAGCATCCTTAACAGACTTATCAGACGCGTTCTTGCTCTCAAGGAAACAAGTGAGTTCTTCCAAGTTTTCCCTCAGCTTGGTGTTTTTCGTCTCGTTCCTTAGACCCCAAATCCACTGGAGCTTACAGTCGCAAATCAGTTTGTTTCCTGAGACAGAAAAACTTCGTTAGAGGATATACTAATTACCAACTTGTGTTAATTTATCTCATATAATCCTTTTGTCCTCACATTTACTCTCCAACGTCCTTTGACTTTTCATATATACACACAGTTATTTTCCATGTTCATTATTATTTATTATCATTATTATCGTTTCCGTTTCCATTTCAAAAAGAAAATTTCATATTTTTCTTTCGTTAATTATCGCTGGAGGAGATAAATTTAAAATTTCATAAAATTATGTCACGAAAGAAAATATAATTATCTTGTCTCATTTATAAATAAATAAATATCTTCGAATTTTAGAGAACAGAATCTTTTAAATTATTTGTTTTAATTTTCATAATTTTTTTTTTGAATATTTACTTCTCTATCAAATATTTTTTCTTTCGTTACTTTTTTGTGATTAATATTCTCCCTGTTGATTTTTGTTTTCTTTGTTTTTTTGAATCGAAAAAATCCATTTGGAATTCAAAATTCGCGAACACATATATATACATATATAGAGTTTGAAGAAAAATTGTCAAAAAAATTTCAATTTAGGAGTGAAGGTGAATTGTTTTTTAAATATTGAATGCATTAAAGGGTAGAGAGTAGTCATCTTCATTTTCAATATTGGATTTATGGAATTACAATAAACCCACAGTATAGAATAGTAATAAAAAATGTGAATAAATTTCCATCCATATTGTTCAAATTAATTTTTACGTAAACTGTATACAAAAAAAATTTAATAAATCAATTTTTTTTTCGTCAGTCGAATCAAAATGTCTCTAAATTTTTTCGTTAATTTCTTTTCCAAGTTCTAATTAAGAAGGGGGAAAAAATTCGTTCATTTGAACGTTAAAAACTTTTGGAATATGAATCAAAAGAAATTTTTATTATCCAAATATAAGCGACGAAATCTTTCATTTACTTTATTTTATTTGTTATTTTTATTTTATTTGTTATTTTTCATTTTATCTGTTATTTTTCATTTTATTTATTTTATATTAATTTTTAATAAAATATTTTCGTTTCATACATTTTTTTCCACACATTTTCTAGAATTTTTGTTGCTATAAAAATAAAATATCAAGTCATAGGAAAAATCGCTTTTATATTCAAGAGGGGAAATAATTTTTGGGAATAATTTATAAATGTGCGTCGTGAAGGAAAATTCCCTCGTTTTAAATTTTCTGACCCCTTCTCTCTCTCTGTATATACATTTTTTTTATAACTTTGATGCATAAAAAAACGCTTAAAAAAAGTGTATCAAAAGCAATTTGGCAGTTTGCATGACTCCCGTGTGGTTATACCTATGGAAATAAGGAACCTATCAAGACCCGCGATTCATTAAATAATGAAAACCCTTTCTCTCACGTTTCACGAAATATATAAGAATGTATATATGCACACGCACACTTTCAAGAAGGATTGTTAGGCCAACTATATTATTAAACAATTAATTAAAATTGCCTTCAGGTTTTGTTCCACTTTTAAGAAAAGTTCAATTATTCATTGAAAAATGTCGAGCAGAACTTTCTTCTATTATAGATTATATGCGCACTACTGTTCTTGAAACCTATATATATATAATATATAATCTCTTTAAGAAGAAAAATTCTCAACTTTAAATATTGATATCTCCAGAATTATTTTATACCTACTTTAGAAAAATGAAATATAAATTAATTCCATCAGAATTCTTAATTCCGGAATATAGACTTCAATAAAATAAGGAAATACTTTTGAAAATATTTTAAAAAGTACCTTAAAATTTCATAATTGGTTCAAATGAATTTTGATTCTTGGAAATATTTAATAAGTGGAATAACAAATTTTGTAAAAATTAAAATTACTTCTTATAATTTAATAAGAATGAATAATAATAATTAATAATTGAAAATTGCCAACTGATAATAATTCATTATTGTTCGTAAATAATTATTCATAATTATTAATAATTGACAGTAAATAATAATTGATAATAATTAATAATAGATTGTAAATAATTGATAATAATTAATAATAGATTGTAAATAATTGATAATAATTAATAATAGATTGTAAATAATTGATAATAATTAATAATAGATTGTAAATAATTGATAATAATTAATAATATAAAAATTTTGTGTAATATTTCAATTTTAATTTAAATAAAATAAAAAATTCGAAATGTAATTTTTTTTTACTCAAAAAACAAGAATATATTTGGCAAAGAAAATTAGAATGTTAATCACGAAACATTTTTTTAAAAAAATGGAAAATATTATTTTAAAAATTGAAATTTTTTTGACTCAATAAACAAAAATATTTGTCAAAGAAAAATAAAATATCACAAAAAAAAATATTGCGCAACAAAGATTATTATTTACTTTTACAAGTAAATATTCACAAAAAGTCTGCTTTCTATAGACGAAAATGTAAAAGATTACAACAATCGAAAACATTTTTCCGGTGACAGAAACCCAAAAAAAAAAAAAAAAAGAATAAAAGCCTCGACATATACAGATTTTTTGAAAATCAATAGTCTTTCAATAAAGACATGCACTGTGAGCACTTAGTTTTAAAGCCAAAAAGTAACATATTTTTTTTATTCGCTCCTCCCTTTTCTATTTTTTGCTTAATAAAAACTATATATACTCATACGATTCAATATCCATAGATTTTATGTCGTTGCCTAAAATAGCTTTCTCCATCTGTAAATACATATAAATATATATAGATACAAAATGTAATTTTTTTTGGTGCAAATAAATATATAGATGAACCGACACCTTGTCAACATGAAATGGATCATAGTGTAAAGCGGACACAAGGAAGGTCTTTTTCGCTCAGGTGAATAAATACTCGGCAAAACAAATGGATTACAATGGTTCTCTTCTAAGCGTAAAATAAAAGGAAATTTATTACCTTGAGCTTTTATAGGGCGTCAACGAAACTTCACTTTACGTTTACATTATTCGTTGCTTTATATGAGATTTTTTTGCTTTTTAGATTTTTTTTTTTTTGAAACGCTTACCTCTCCATTCTCGAATTTTTTTTCCCTCGCTCGCAGATGGAAGAAATGCCTTCTTGTTTGCGAAGAAGAAAAGAGAATAAGAAGAGGATAGAAAGAAACGGAAACAAAAGAAAAGAATGTGTTTCACTTTTCTTATATATATATATATATATATATATATATATAGGCTTTTCTCATATATATATATACTTTTCTTATATATATGCGATTGAACGATATCTGTGATTCGAGGAGGAAAGAAAGAAGCAATTTAACGAAAGATAGAACAGAAAATATTGCAAGCTTGTTTCCTACAAGTTCGACAAATCATCCGTAAGATGAGAGAGAGAGGAGGAGAGAGAGAGAGTTTCTTAAGACTTTGTTATGCTTCATATCGCAAGGAGAGAAAATTGATTTGAAATAAGTGCTACTTTTATTTTCTTTTGGATTCGAATTCCTTCTTCAAAATGTTATTATTAAAACTTTTTTTGTATCATTGTTATGAAATCGGATATTGAGAAATTAATTTACCGCGATTTAGTTGATATATATCTTTATAATGTTAAAGCGAATTTCATTTCGATTGATGTACGTAAACATAAAATTTTCTTTATTCGTTTTGAAATGGTTAAAAATAATAGAAATTTTTTTTAAAGAAGAATTCAATTTTATATAACTATTTTTTTCTACTTTTATTACAAATTCTCTTTGGTTCTTGTTTATGATATAAATTTTTTAGATTTTACTCTTATCTATACATGGAAATATTTTTTGGAAAACAAAAAGTAAAATTTAAAATATTATTAACACAAAACAGTTTTTCTAAGCATTTTCTTTTTTTTTTTTTTTTTGAGACAAAAAACTTTATCAAAAACGACAAATTTCAATTCTATAGTTAATTTGTTTGCAGTAGTAAGAGGTATAGTTTTAGTCAGACAAATTTTTATTTTAGTCCATTTTTTTGTATCAAGAGATAATTTTAATCACACGAATTTTAATTTTAAATTTTAATTAACTTATTGTCAGTTTGGTAAGAGTCAATATTAGTCACACATTTCAAAAACCTTTTGTTATACTTCTATCAGAAGTTAAAATAGTTTTTGTCAGTCAGAAATATTATTTTTAATCTAAAAATCAGTAGTATAGACGAACACTAGTCAGACAATATAATAAGTCCTTGTAATTTGTAAATCAGTAGTATAGTATGTTTACAGTCAGACATATTTTCTTAGACTATTAGATTTTTTTCCACCAAATAGTAAATGACGTTTTTTTATTTAGTAGTATGTCCTTTTCAGTGGTAAAAACACGTTTTTGTCAGCCAATTGATTAAAATATTGTTATTTTCTTTTCAGTAGTAAATGACTCTTTTAGTCAGACGAATTTTCATTTATTTTCCCTTTTCAGTGGTACGAGACATTTTTAGTCAAACGTCGAAAATACTGGTTATATTTATAGCAGGAGTAAAAAATATTTATATAGCCATGCAGATGTAAACTTTTCTAAATCACTAGTATGTTTATTTAAGTAGAACAACCAGGGTTCGGTCGGACAATATGTTAAAATCTGTTTTGTTTTATTAATAAAAATACAAAATATTTTGCTTTCAGTAGTAGAAGACAATTTTAGTCAGACGAATGTTAATTTTAGTTAATTTGACTTCAGTAGTAAGAAACTGTTTTAGTCAGACGAGTTTTAATTGTAGTTCATTTTTTTCAGTAGTAAAGGACAATTTTAGCCAGACATTTCAAATACTTGTTATATTTATGGCTGAAATAAAAAATAGTTTCAATTAGACATAAATATTGTTTTTTTCAAATATCCGTTGCAGTAGAAAATTCTTACTTAAGTCAGACTCAATATTTTTTTTTATCTTTTCTGGAGTAAGAAATTTTAATGGAACAGAATTTTTTTATTAATAAAGTCTATAATAAGTAGTAAAAGAGCGATGTACTTAAACAACCAATTCTTGGAACAGAATTTTTAGTAGTAATCGTGAATT